AGCTCCCATTACTTGTCTCAGTTTCTGCCAACCTAGCAGTTCGAAAGCATGTAAAAATGCAAGTAGAAAAATAGGAACCACCTTTGGTGGGAAGGTAACAACGTTATGTGTGCCTTTTCTGTTTAGTTATGCCAGCCACATGACCACGGAGACGTCTTCGGACAGCACTGGCTCTTGGGCTTAGAAACAGAGATGAGCACTGCCCCCTAGAGTCAGGAATGATTCAGTGTGAGGGGAACCAAACCTTACTCACTTAACAATTGCAGTGATTCACTGAACGTCTGTGTGAAGAAAGGTCACGAAATGGGGCAAAAAAAATTCACTTAACCACTGTCTTGTTTAGCAACAGAAATTTTGAGCTTGGTTGAAATCATAAGTCAAGGACCATCTGTCATCTAGTCACCAAGAAACGGGACTTCTGCCTTTGTGAAATAGTTAAGAGACTTTCTCATTCTGCTAGAAAGAGTTTAAAAGGGCTGCCCATCCAATCTCTTTTGACTTCACATTTGGTAGAACATTTCACAAAAGGCTGCTTCTTCCGGCTATCGGCATGATTTCAAGGAAAGTAAATCACGGTTCACATCAGATCCAATCGACTGTCTTCCCTGGAATGTACAAAAATTGAACAGCCCCCTCGGTTTTATTTCTCGTTGTATATTTGTTTTTCAAAAGCCACACTTTAATAATTAGATTTAAAAATAAAAACAGAAGAAGTATTTTACAGACTCGGGGTGTGTGTGTGTGCCATAAAAACAACAACAGAAGTGGAGCCTTCCCAGGGATAGGAATTTAAGAAAAACAGTTTGAACAATAATTACACATCAATTTTCCGCAGTCTGAGTTGCCAGTTCCAACGGCGCAGAAGTTATTTGTCTAGCTCCAGACCCAAATCTGAAAATGACTACTTATGCTCTTGAAAAGAAAAAAAAAACCCGAAAAGACAGACAACCTTTGTTTTGGATCCAATGTCAGGCCAAGGATGTCTGGACTATCTTGCTGATTTTAAAGTATGTTTGGTTTGGGATAATAGGTCACTCACAGTCACTTGTGCTGACAACATCAACATACCAGGATTTTTTACATATATATAAATATGTGTGTGTGTGTGTTGTGTCACAACCCCTGGTATGCCCAAATATGGGAGGGAGCATACTGCTTCCCTTTTCTGTCTATCGACTCACNTCCGGGTCCACTGGTGGAACCTCTTCTAACCGGTTCGGTAGATTTGACGAACCGGTTCTACCGAACCGGTGTGAACCGGTAGGAACCCACCTCTGGTCCAGCCCATACATTGTTCAGGATGCTCCTAACAAGAAAACATCTACTTTGTTGTGTTGTTCAGTGTGTGCAGTTCCTGCCTTCCTCTGTGGTTTTCATCCATCCCTTTGATTGGGGGCAGCTTTACTGTATGTATTCACTTTTAGTCTTCTATTCTTAACCAAACTTGGCATTGTTCAACAGCTTCTAAGATCCACTGCCATGCCTGGTTTATTTCCACTGTGTCTCCTGGTTTTGTGTTTCAGGGAAAGCAAAGATTAGCAAATCAAGTCTCCTTAATCTTTTGCCACCTACGCACCTTGTTTTCGATAGATGTAAGTAGCTGGCTCCTTGAGCAAAATACGACAGCGGTGGCCTTGTAGACTCAAGGTACAACTCTGGGTTTCTGGGTAGAATACACATCGTACTGCTGATGGCAACGTTTCAAGTGTGGTCACTCGGCACCGGTTGTCCTTTGAACAGACTGCAAAGAAAGAAATGGCCAACTGTGAATTGCACAGGTGGATAAAACAAAGGGCAGGTGAAAAGTGATGTTTTGGAGATTGAAATGGAGAATACAATCCATAATGGATCCAACCAGATTGGGAAATTCTCAGGCGGCAACAGTGATGATTGTCAACTCATAAAGTTGCCATGGTGACGAAAAGGAGGGGGAGTGTGTTCCACTCATGGTTTCGGCTAGAGTCAGATCTCAGATTACTGCAGCAGGTTTGGGAGGGGTGCACCTCATTGGGGAATGTGATTTGTGACACAGACTGTGGGGAGGGAAGGAAGAGGGGTAAAGTTCAGCTAAAATGCAAATAAGGCTCAGATCTGACTGCATAAGGTCTTGCCAAATGGTGCTCCTAATAAACGACTAGTTTTCTTTTGAAACTTGGCTGGAGACTCATGAAACAATTAGGGCATCTTTCGGAAACCTGACAATGATATTTAGAAGGCCATCTCAGGAGGTGTTTTAAGGTTCATCAAAAGAAACAAATACAATCTATCTACTGTTCAACAGAGTAATGAAAGCCCCAATTTCTTTGCTGTTGCTTACAGCTGTGTTACACTAGACACACTGTATCCCAGGACTTCCATAAATATCATATGAAAAGAAGAGACAGTTATTACAAAAGATACAGCTTTGTATATGATAATGTAGGATACTTTTTTTCCCAACTTGATGCACTCCAGATATAAAGAGATCAGGAATTCTGAGAGTTGCAATCTGGACATGTATAGAGAGAGGCAAAATCATTGCAGAATATACTTATTAGTACTAATTATTATCACTGCTTAATGGTGAAGTTACCATTAAGTGGCTCAGTGGCTAAGACGCTGAGCTTGTCGATCAGAAAGGTTGGCAATTCGGCGGTTTGAATCCCTAGCACCGTCTAACGGAGTGAGCTCCCGTTACTTGTCCCAGCTTCTGCCAACCTAGCAGTTAAAAACCAAGAAAAAATGCAAGTAGAAAAATAGGAACCACCTTTGGTGGGAAGGTAACAGCATTCTCTACGCCTTCAGCATTTAGTCATGCTGGCCACATGACCACGGAGACGTCTTCGGACAGCACTGGCTCTTTGGCTTTGAAACGGAGATGAGCACCGCCCACTAGAGTTGGGATCGACTAGCACATACCATAAAAAGATTTCAGTAACTCCCTTTAAGTCTGTCCTGATTCAACCCTACTTCTTTTTCCACATTATTTCCACATTTGTTTTAAAAAATGGCACACTAATTCCAGTTAGTCAATTAACAATGTAATTAATACAACTTGCATTTAAGAAATCTGAGAGGCAGTTTGCTGTAGTGATGAAGAGACCAAAGTAGAAACCAAGAGTTCTAGTTCTACCTTAGACACCTGAGTGACACTGGGCCAGTCATTTTCTCTCAACCCAGCAAAGAAGGCAATGGCGAACCACTTCTGAAATCAGAGAGAGAGAGGGAGGGAGGAAGGAAGGAAGGAGTAGTGGATGGATGGGGAGGATGGAAGGAGGGGTATGGAAGGAAGGAAAGGAAGGAAGGAGTCAGTAGGGGATGGATGGCAAAAGAGGGGTGTGGGGGAAGGACGGAAGGAAGTTAGGAAAGAAGGAAGGAAGGAAGGAAAGAAGGAAGGAAGGAAGGAAGGAAGGAGTAGGGGATGGGTGGATGGATGGATGGATGGATGGGGAGGATGGAAGGAGGGGTGTGAGGGGAAGGAAGGAAGTTAGGAAGGAAGGAAGGAGTAGGGGATGGATTGATGGATGGATGGATGGATGGGGAGGATGGAAGGAGGGGTGTGAGGGGAAGGAAGGAAGGAAGGAAGGAGTAGGGGATGGGTGGATGGATGGATGGATGGATGGGGAGGATGGAAGGGGGGGTGTGGTGGGAAGGAAGGAAGGAAGGAAGGAGTAGGGGATGGATTGATGGATGGGGAGGATGGAAGGAGGGGTGTGGGGGGAAGGAAGGAAGGAAGGAAGGAGTAGGGGATGGATTGATGGATGGATAGATGGATGGGGAG